AATTAATATATAAATAAAAACTACGGCAGGCTAGTCACCTACCTAGTTAAACCCTATGACGCTATGAAACTAGTGCATGAGAAATCATGCACTAGCCCTATGCTCCTTCTAGGAGTGAATAAAGGAAAAAAAAAAAAAAAAAAAAAATTCTTTAAATATACATAAGTATGTGTGTTAGCATAAAAATATAGTATGTATTTGAATAAGGTTATATGTAATAATTATTATTATACTTCAATCTTATAATGTTGCTGTTTTCAATTGTTTTTTCGATTTTTATTATTTTTATGTTGTTGTTTTTTATGTTCTTATAAGATAACTTTCTCTTTTAATTGCACAGCCTCCTGAATTGATTTGATAGGTTTAGATAGTTGCCAATAATATTCAATTAGAATTGCTGCTGATTGCGAAGCAATTATTACAGAGGTTTACGTTTACTCCTAACATACCGCAATTCAAGAACATAACTTGATTCATAATCATTATTATTAATATTCAACAAGATCATATTCCTGCTGAAATTGCTTATATGAAAGCATATATGGCAAAAATTTCAACAAACTATAACAAGCTCTTTTAGCTAGCTCTTTTGTTTTGCTAACATTTTCATTGTTAGGTTTTTGTTAAAAAACACGAAAGGTATGAGCTCAAATCTTCAATTACAAGATTTCTAATAAAAGCATTTTGTATTACTTTCTAGAAATTTTATATTTATCATACTTATTCAATAAGTTGCATAAGAGTTTCCGTTCTAACATCGACCATAAAGTCTCTTAATTGGAAGCGTTGTTGAGAATAAGTATCGTTTATTTCGACTATAGTAATTCAAATTATTTGTGGTTTTATTGCAGTTTTGTAGTTTTACAAAAGCTCACAAAACTACTTTTTATAAAAATATTCGTCTTACCACAATTCCTCAACTTTCTTTTGCTTAAAGTACTGTCATCTCAATGGTATCTCAATTCTGAGATACTTGTTTATAAAAATTATGTACTTTTAAAGTTTTGCTTATAGCGGCTACACGAACCATTTTTCAATTAATTTACAATACCCTTGGATTCGACGCTAATTCATTATTTGTATAAAACTCAGAGTATTATCGTTCGGTTTTTATTCATATACCCTAAGAAGATCACTCATTGGCATACATTAGTAAAGTGCCGGAATTGACATTTTTAACAATTAATTAATTAATTAGTAAAATTTTTTTCTTAAATTAAAAATATACAAATACGAATGATTAAAATTAACAATAAATTACAGTTTGATTTTCCAGTCCCTCTTGTATTCTAGAAAAAAATATTCACCCTCTGGCATCTCTCACTTAATAATAAATCCATTTCAAATAATACAACAGTAATATATGTATACATAACCATTTATATGTCAAGAACCACAATAATTTCCATAAGTATCATTATTTATGTTAGTTTTTCAACTCATGCATAAACATTAAATTAAATAAAGCAAAAATATTTATAAAGTAAAGTAAGCAAGGGCAAAGAAAATAATAAAAGATTTTTATATATACACAAATACACATACTTATAAATTTTTCTACTTAAGAACAATAAAAAAATAGCAAAAAAAAAAGAACAAAAACCAAAAAAAGGATAACTCAAGCTTAAAAATAAACGTCATATTGTCATCGTCATCATCTTTTTCATCATTGCACTTTCTAAGTGCATAATGCACCGTAATATGAGAGACCTAAAGACTATTCCGATTTTTTATACTTTTTTCTTCCTTCTTGCTTTTTCTTTTTCTTATCTTGCCTCTTCTATTGTACTATTTTAAGTACCTACTATACATACATACAATAAAATATTAAAAAGTGCATTTGACCAGCGGAAAATTTTTCGTAAATTATTAAAAATAAAATTTCATTAAAAATACACTTAAAAAACAGCATCATATTTTAAGATGAAAAATTTTAAAATGCTAAAAATTTATATATGTACAATATTATAAGAAAAGCTAAGAAGGATAACAATGCATTAAAAATTTTATACAATTTTCAAGATTTTAACACTTCATTTCTCCATAAGTATACATGTATTTAATTGTTATTCTCCTGGTTATTTTAAAAAAAAAAAATGTTGTTGAGGCGATAAGGACTTCTTGAAATAATTATAATGTGAATTTAAAATTAAGATTTCAGCTGCAAAACAAAAATAAAATGTAAATTGTAAAAGAAGAAAAACAAAGAAAATAAAAATATTTTTTTAAGGAGTCTTAAATTATGCATAAATATACGCTCTCTATATTTTCTCTTTAAATACGTATACGTATACCAATATACAATATTTTCCGAAAGGATTATACATGCATAATTTATAAAATTTCAATATTTTCAATATGCACATAGAGATAAAAATCAAAGAGGGATGACGAAAAAAATTTAAATATCATAGTGAAGGGTAAAAAAAAAAAAACAGCAACTTCCTTTTTTCTTTTTTTTTGTATTAATTTATGCGGAAAATGTCATGTGTAAAAATTCTTTGAAATCATTATAAGGAAAGAGCAATAAAGGATAAAAAAAAAATTAATTATTCGATTTCATATTACGATTTTTATAAATATATAGAGAATATTTGTTCGTGCATATTTCCACGTTATACAGCTAAGAATTAATATTCAAGCAAATGAAATATTAAAGAAAAAAAGATGCATTGCACATAAGCAAGAAAAAAAATGTATATGTATTTCAAAATATGAAAATAAATTATTCAAATTTGAAAATACTACGCCGGGAGTGGCTTTTGGATAATTATTTATTGCATAATGAGAAGAAATAACGCTAGAAATAACTAATTTTTAGCTATAGAAAAGAATTCGTTCTAAACTCTCTTAATAAAAATAAATAAGAGATATTAGTAGAAACTAGTTCCATGATACGTTAGTTAAACAAAAACAGATATAAAATAAAATAAGGGGACAGTTTAAGTTTGACTTTATTCAACCTAATAATGGGTAAGATGATAGATAGAGTCAAAGAAGTAAATATGCCGGGTATACAATGGGCGCATACAAAATAAAAATACTCTGTTACACACGTGAAGCTGTTATTGTGGTGGAGAATGAAAACGATGTACAAGGATTTCTATTTGTCTTTACTAACACAACATAGTCTTACAATATCCAGATTGCTAGCGGAAAAACAAAGTGTATGGCAGAGTCTAAGACACCACTGAATTGTAAACTAGTAGTCCATAGTAAACCGATTGAGCAAGTAATGTGCTGTAAATATCTTGGTATTAATTCTTTACATAACACAAAGATTTAAAGTTTAAAATCAAAAGTCGGGTAGACAAGGCATATAAAGGATAGCGTTAGTCTCTGAATGTTCAAGCGAACACATTTGGAAAAATAAACACTTATTAAAACGAATTTTTTAATACAATTGCAGTGAATTATAAAAATTTCATAAAATAGTTAAGAAATTTTTCGAATTCAAATAAATATTAGCAACAACTGCTTGTGCATATTATAAAAAGAATTTCTAAATTTAGATTTTAGTAAACTTTTGCATATTTTCTAAATAAACTTATGTGATTTTTATTAGCGAAACCTAAAAAATTAATCAAAACTATTTTTATTTCACATTATTTATAATTTCAATTTTATTCTCTCATTTTACTGAATTATTACAAAAATTGTTGAATTGTTGAAACTCTTTTATTCGTTCAGAATTAATTTAATTATTTTGCAAGAAATAAGTGCGGTAAAAATGAAACCAAATAAAATTTTTATAATAAAAAGTTGAAAATACCTGTGCATTTTCCGCAATTTAAATTCTCGAATGACTTTTATTTTTATATTAAATACAAGTTAGTTAAAAAAAACAAATTTATTATTCGTTTTTAGAATAGAAAAGAGATGAATTTTTCTAAAGCATTTAGTGCGTGGTTTAACTTTTGTATCAATGCACAAACAAAATTTAAAATTTTGCTAGCAAAAACTTCATTGTTGTTAAATTATAATTCAAGGAAATGTTAATGATTAATGAACGATGTGAATGAGAAAGAAATAGTTATAAGAATTTTCACAGATTTCTTGTTAGAGTATTATAAATACAAGAAATACAACCTGACAAATTCGAACCTATAGAAAGCAAGAGCATTTCGGGTTCTCTAAGGAGGCTAAGGGTATTATTAGCATATTCTGGAAAAATACGATGCATATTCTAGAAAAATGTGTAGATTTAATTCCCATAAGAGAGCGTATGGCCTTTCGTTAAAAGTTTTCTTTTTTGCAGTATTGCCAAACATTTCATTTAAATTTATAAAGTACATAAACAGCAAACGAATCTGTGCAAATGGACAAATGTGCCAAAACCAACAAAAAATTTTTAATTTCAGCAAATTTCTCTCACATACTTGAATTATAAATAGTCACTATTTTAATATCTAAGTTCTTCAATAAAATATTAATACATTTTTTTTTCGCCTGTGTTTATGCAAATTATTCAATTATATCTAATATGATAATTTTAATGAAAGTCGCTCCGACTGCTCCTCCCTACATTTTCGGATAGCTTAAAAAATTTAATCACAAATTAAGAAAACATGTACCACAAATTATTTCTAAGAAAATTAATTATTTTTTTTTGTACTTATTAATTTTGAAAAAAAAAACAAAAGAACCTTAAACAAAAATTATTCTAACAAATTTTAAATATGTTTTTTTTAATAAGAAATCATCTTATTTAATTGTTTTATTCAAAAGAACCGGAGGAATTTTATTAAGATTATAATGTGCGTATAATTAAAAATAAAATTATATTTAAAAGTTAATATGCCATTTTTTTTTTGTTCTATTCTTCAAAATTGTAACTTCCTTTTATCATTAAAAAGTCAACGCACAAACGTATATGTATATATTACGTATACGTATACATATTTACATTAAATACCTACATTTTAAATTTATGAAGAAAATTCATTTATTATCCTTGTTAAAAATAAAAATTTTATATATTTTTTTTTTCTTATACTTACTTTTTCATTTATTTCTTTAAAATTTATTTTTTTTTTAATTTTTGGTATTTTTCCATTTGAAAAAAAAACTTCCTCTCCACAATTACTTAAAAAAATTGTAAAAGAAAAGTAAACTGAACAACGTAAAGACAAACTACAGAACGTCAATTATGATTGATGCTCTTGCTCAGCTTCTGTAAATAAAAAAAAAAAATTGTTTTTTTTTTAATATTTTTTTCCGCTAATAATTTTTTTTTTCATATTTTTATTAAAAATTTAAAAAAAAATAAAGCATAAATATATTATATGGGAACGAAATGCAAAAACAGGAAAATTTTTTTTTTTTTGAAAGAAAAATAAAATTTTCCTGTGCGCATCAAAGAAAATTCAATTCAAATGGTTTGGTTTGGTTGAAAATCCTATGGAAAGTGAAAATTTTATTAAATAAAAAATTAATTAAAAAAAAAAAAGACATTATTTTTTTATGATAAAAACAGTGTTTGTTCAGGGTATATGATGATTTCTCTCTTATATAATGAAGAGAGAGAGAGAGAGAGAGACATAGAGAGAGAGTGAGATAAAAATATTAGAAAATTTCCCAGAAAATTTTTATTTTTGTTGTCTTTTTAATTTTCTTGTTCAAATATCATCCGAATTTGTTTTTTAATTTTTTATTTTTTTTTTAATTTTCCAAAATATGAAATGAAAACACCTTAAGCGTATAAAATTTATTTAATATGAAAAAAAAAAAACTCAAATGACATGAAGTAATTTTGTAATATCAATTTAGAAAATTAAAAATATTTTATTAGAAAAAATGTTTTAAATATAAAAAAATTCTGAAAAAAAAAATAAATAAAATAATTATTTAACAGTACAAATATATGAATGTAGATTTTTTAATTAAATAAAAGTACTAGCCTATCTCAACCTATAGGTTTACGAAATACAATATACTTAAGCAACTACATGACCACTCTTCAATAGAAATTTATTGGACCTTAAGTACAGTCCAAAGTGGTTCTATAGCGAATTCATATGAAGTTTTACATAATAAAATTAATGTTAATTCTTGGCCCCACACTATAATTACTAACATTTTAATTTTTTATATAGAACATTATCAAATTAATAAATTAAAAATTAATGAAAAATTAATATTTTTTGAGTGTATAAATGAAATTTATTTCTTTGTTATTATATTTGGTGCAATACAAATTTTATTGAAATTTATTTTTAAATTCTGATTTGAGAAACTATGAGCATATTTTATTAATTCTATAAATAACAAAAATATTTATCAGGCTCTCCAAACTAATATTGTGTGTACAGTAAGGAAACATGTCTAAATCTTTCGTTGTATATACGACCATGGTATTCTAATAAAAAATTCGTTAACACTAGTATCTATATATTGCTGAATATATTTCCATCTACATTCTTAATCTCTACTCGATCTATTCGTAGCGTATACTATATTAATATTAACGATAACTTACATATTACCGAATATATTATATCCATATATATTATTCGGCCATATTTACCGAATTATTGTAGTAGCAGAGCAACACTGCAATTACACGTTCGATGAAACATAATAAAAATAATACGATGAAGTAGTCGCCTTAATATTAACCTTATAGTTTAGGTAACTTATACTTTAAATCAAAAATAATTTAGAAATCGAAATTAAATTAATGCTATACTACTACAAAATTCAAGTTATTAGTGATAATAAGTAAATTATTTCATAATTCAGAATGTAACAGTGTCATTCAATTGTCGAAATTTATATGTCAGGTATAACAATTTCTTTAGGTAAAAATTTGTTAATTATCATTGTTTTAAGAATTTTAGAGCATTATTTTTAAAAATATTGTAATTCAAATTTTTAAGCAATACCTGGGAAGGTCAAAAAAATTAAATAAGGGAACCCACTAATCAAAATTATAAATATTGAAAATTAATTTTAAAATAAAAGTATATAATTTTCTTATTTCTCAACAGAATATCAATTTTATTATAAACAGTACATTACACAAATTATGGCACTGTACTGTCCTTTTATCTTATATTTTTAATCTAATTCTAATTTAATTCATAACGACTATTCTGTATTGAATCCACAATGTTTTTAATCAAAACATAAAAGTGCATTACTAAATTTAAATATTGGTAGGTACTCCCTCCCTCATATTTGTGCTTATTCTATTTAATGATAAATTGCGACTATTCGGAAAATGACTTTCAAATAGGACAAGTATGTATTTTGATATTTAAAAATTTTATTTTTTCAAAAAACAAAAATCAAATAAATTTTCAAATGTATTCATAAATAAATTTACAGAATAATAAATGTTAGTCTATCGTTTCTAAAAAAAAATTATTCAATAAAATAAAAAATTGTAAATCTACTCATAAAATTAATTTTCTTTATAAAAAATATTTGCTTTATTCCCTTTTTAATTCAAAACTTTTATTTTCAATGTAAATTTACTTTTTTAACCTTTTGTATTAAAAAAATGTAAGCATGAAGAACTAAGGGGCAAAAATATAACAAATATTTTCAATTTAATTTTAATATACACATATAACAAAGCAGAAATGCCCATTTCCATTTTTATACAAAATCAGGGTAATAGTTATCTTTCTGATACTTTCACATACTCTCTGACACACAGAAAATGCTCTGACTTAAAGGAAAACTTAAACTTAGTGAACCCCAAGCTGTACAAGGTGTGCCAATATTTTTTATTTTCATTTAAAATGAAGCTATAATAAACGAATTATGAAACCTAATAAAGCCTATATTATTCTCAAGAAAATGATAATTTCATCACTCCTACTTTAGCGTAAATTTCGATTTTAATAAATTTTTGAATTTCTGACTGTATTTTTTCTTCTTCTCCTACACAATTTTCTAAACTGTAAATGTCTCCTTTTGCCTTTTAACTATATACCGTCGTAATGTACGTATGTACATTTATGTAAAATTCATAAATTTTTAAATTAATTCATTTTAAAATTATTACTTTAGGGAAATTTAAAAATAAAAAATTGAACCGGATATTACTTAAAAGCTATAATTATCATAATAATAATCCCAGTCCAATAATTTCAATTTATTCAGCCTCCGCGTTCATTTTGTACTTATATTTAAACTTAATATCTTACAAAAAAGCAACCAACGCAATATACAATGCATAAGTATGTACAAATAATAAAAAACAAACGTCCTTTTAACATTACCGCATTGATATATTATGTACCTATTTACGGTTAATAATTTTTGTTTTTTCTCTTATTTTTTTCCACTAATTTAGCTTCAATTCCTCACCTCATATATTATTTTTTCATTTTTATAGTATAAAAGATAAATTATTATTATAATCATACCTAGATGATTTGATGGCCTTTTACTCATATATTTATACTCAAATATTTCATTCAATACCATATAAGTATATAAATGGGTATGAGCGTATATACATATATCGGTTCAATTTCAAATATATATACAGAATATGTACACTTATGTATTTACTTGTATATGGTATATCTATATTTTTAATATATTTGTTTTCATAAATTTTCCAACGGGAGCTATAAATTATCACACAATCACTTAAAATAACGGCATATTCTCTTAAATAATATAGAACCTGATAATGGAATATAGCTGTTATTATTTTTCTTTTACAATGTTTTCGTACATTTGTACGTAAATGCCATAGACGTTGTATGTGTGTATAATGTACACAAATAAGAAAATACAAGTTAACTATCAAAATGATATAATATGTAATAAGGATGATAGTGTAAGACAATATTATGGGAAAATCTTTTAACAAAATAAATTTGAAAAATTTTTACTAGTCTTAATTCTTAATTTTAAGACGAGAACATAATCTTATATAGAAGTAAGGCACTTACTATCTATATCATACAATAACACGATTACGTGGCTTTCCTCTCACACAAAAAAAATCAGCGGAGAATACGTCATGATATTCTCTCAGTTACAATACCTTTCATTTAAGGGCTCGTATATAAAGCAGAAAAGCTCGTGAAAATGTGTAACAAGAAGCCTATAAATATAACAGTTGTATTAACAGTTATAAGACATCAGAGAATTCTCTGAGACAAAACGAGAAGAAGAGGATTTTTTTTTGTTTTAGTTAAATACCAAAAGTACAGTATTCTGGTTTAGTTATATACAATAAGAAAGAAAGATATGCCCACATACATTATTCGTACACTAATAATGAATAAAATGTACAGTGTCTACGCATCACTGATGTTTATTGTAAGGAAGAAAATCCAATTCCAGACGCACCGGAAACTAAAGGTAAAATTCATAATAAAGAGGGGGGATAAAAAAAAAATAAAAAGTATAAAATTGGTAAGGTGGTGACAAAGAGATGAGATTAAAATTTTGGAAGGGAATTGTTTAGAGTTAAAATTTTCATTGTCTTCTCATATTATTGTTTTACTTCTCCTTATATTTCATTTATTTTCACTAAGAAAAAATTACATTTTATTTATTCTTGGTCCTTTATTCACCTATAATAATTTGCTATCTTCTTTTATACATTAAGAATATCAAAGGAAAAAAAATTAAAGTAATTTTGAATCAAGAGTTTAAATGTAAAAGAAGCTAAGAAAATAATATAGGTACATACATGTACACAAAGATATACTAATGCTTTATACGTAACGTATAGGTACATTAACATTAAGGATAATTTATAACAGTTATAAGAGCTAAGTCATATAGCCAAGTCAACTAAATGAGAGTCCTTTTCCTACCTTACACGTGTATAGTACTTATTATTACTGTTGATTCCTCACCTTTTTCTTTCTGTCTCTCTTAACTACATTTTTAGATACCCATTATATTATTATGTACGTATATTTTTATAAAGACGCATCAGGTGATATAATCCATGTGGTGTCGATTATGGTCTCAAAATGATTTCATATATTATTTATTATGAATGATTATTACCCAGTATATACATTTAGATAATATATTGGTGTAATATGTACGTAAATATATAGGTAGCTAAGTAGTTTTATAAAAATAAAAATTATTATGGTTTAAAATGTTTTATTGGAATTTTATGGCATTTCTTAACACTCATATGTATTCATTTATTAAAAATTATAAAAAAAAAAAAACCATTT